GAAGTTACTTTGTTTTTTAACAAGCGGCCACAACCGCACACAAGACTTGTGCTTTGGTTTTGCATGGCTCATTTAGTACTCTGTATCAATTAATTTTTTACTAATATATATTAAACGGGAAAAAAACAAAACAAATGTTACCACGGACGGGGTTAAATCTTATTAAAATAATCATTATGCACAATTTTCTTGGTAACAGATTGCATTGAGATGAGGGATTAGTAAGTTAGTAACTAGTAAGTATAAAGATAAATTTGGGCAAATATTTTAGAAACATAAAATATACATGAGTAGACACACTAAGATCGTGTTCTGATCATCATATTTCCATTAAATACAGGTTAAGATTAATGAGTTCAAATAAGAATCATTAAATAAATCCGACATAAAGTACTTTTTTTTTTTTTTCTTTTTGATGTTTAATAATGATTAAAATAAATTCCAATTAACAAGCTATGGTCAAATATGTTCATACCAGATAAATAGCAATACAACAACATTTTGTGCATAGTGAATCGTAAACAATGTACACTTGCTCGTATGATCTAATCCCTTTGTTATAAAACCATTAGCACACTATAATTTTTTTCACTATTACATACTAATTTTGACTATACTTTAATTTTTGAGTTAAACTTTATATTTGGAAAGAAATTAAAAACCTGTCAAAAAAGGAGAAAAAAGAAAACCAATTGATATATATATATATAGGGGAGGGATCTGGTAAGAACCCCTCCTTATATAAGAACCCTATTTATATAAGAACCAATCTCAGCCGTAGGATTAGATTGGGATGAGCGGTCAGGATTAAAAAAAATAAAAACCACTTTAATCTTTCAAATAAAAACGTAACCCATGACTTTCTCTCTCTTTCTTAATTGTCCATGACTTTCTCTCTCCTCAAACTCCCAAAAGCTGCCATTGATGCTGCAATTCAAAGGTTTTTCAACGATTTTCCTTCAATTTTCCGCATAAGTTCTACGACATTAATAATGAAGCAAGTTAAATTGTTTAATCAAAGTACTAATTTGTTCGTCAATTTTGTATGATTGATTTCGTCATTCTTTTGCGATATTTGGCGATTTTATGTTAGATTTCTATTTGATTTCAAGAAAATAATATTTTTTAGATTTCTTCGTTTTTCTATTTAAACTTATTCATTTTTTATGGTTTGATTTTTGTGCGATTTTTTTTGGGGCGATTTTTTTGGTTGTTGATGTCGTTGTTGTGTGGGTACTTCTATTGTTTTGTGGCTGCTATGGTGGTGTGAATTTGGTGGTGATTGTTGGCTGTGATTGGTGGCAGAGGAATGAGAAGGTTGGTGATGTTGGTAGAGGTGGAGGGTTTTGCGTGAGGGAGCAGCAGGGGGTAGGCCGAATTGGGTGGCTGTGAGTGAGGGGTGTGGATTGGAGATGCGGTGTAGGATAAGAGAGGGCGTGGTGAAGGTTTAGTGGCTGAGCAGCAAGGGAGAACATAAAAAAAAATTAGAGCACAGGTTTAGAACATAGGATAAATTTAGAACATAGGGGAAAAAAATTAAAGCACATGTTTAGAACATAGGAAAAAAAATTTAAAGCACATGTTTAGAACATAGGAAAACATTTAACATAGATAAAAAAAACATTAGAACAAAAGAAAAAAATTTAGAACATATGCAAAAGAAAATTTAAAACATTTGAAAAAAAATTAGAACATAGGCCGAAGAAATCAAAATATAGAACATAGGTAAATTTAGAACATAGGCTAAATAATTAAAAAAAAAAATTAAAGGCACAGGTTTAGAACATAGGAAAACATTTAGAACATAGACAAAAATACAATTTAGAACATCAGAAGAAATGTAGAGTATACGTTTAGAATAAAGGAAAAAAATTAGAACATCGGAAAAAAAATATTAGAACATAGGAAAAAATTTTAGAACATAAAAATAATATTTAGAACATAGGAAAAAAATAATATTTAGAACATAGGAAAAAAAAAATTAGAACATAGGTAGAAAAAATTTAGAACATAGGAAAATAGAACTTTAGAACATAAGTAGACTAAATTTAGAACATAGGAAAATAAAACTTTAGAACATAAGTAGTAGACTAAATTTAGAACATAGAAAAATAAAACTTTAGAGCATAAGTAGACTAATTTTTTTTTTTGACGAGAAGTAGACTAAATTTAGAACATAGGAGTAGGCAAAAAAAACTTCAGAACGTAGGAAAATAAAACTTTAGAACATAAGTAGACTAAATTTAGAACAGGATAATAAAACTTTAGAACATAAGTAGACTAAATTTAGAACATAGGAAAATAAAACTTTAGAACATAGGAGTAGGCAAAAAAAACTTTAGAACATAGAAAAAGAATATTCTGCCTATGTTCTAAAGTACGTAGTATGATTATACGAATCTTTTTTATATTCTCGGTCATGCTTTAGAACAAATTCAGTCAATTTTAGAACAAATTTAGTATATTTTAGAACATATGCTAAACCTATTAGCTCAATTGGCAGAGCACTATGCAAATGCATAGAAGATGTAGGTTCGATTCCTACATAGGTTAACTCTAAAAATAATTTCAAAAAGAAAATTAAATTAGCACTAAGTTATATTTTGTACAAGAATAAATTGGTTGATCGAAATGATTAACGACTATGGAAACTTTGTTACAACTTAATTCACATACAAACTCTTGTCTCCACACTATGAAAATGAACCTACGTGGGATTCGAACCCACATCTTTTGCGCATTTGCACAATGCTCTACCCGTTGAGCTAGTAGGTTGATGTATTTAAAGTATTCGAACTAAAAAAAATTACAAAAAAGATAGACATTAAGTTTGCTTATACTGTCATTAGTAGTCCTTTAGTGCACATTTTGGGAGGGCAAGGACTATCCCATGTTAAGACTAGTACTAACCAAGCAAGCTTTAAGACAGACATTAAGTTTGCTTATACTGTCATTAGTAGTCCTTTAGTGCACATTTTGGGAGCGCAAGGATTATCCCATGTTAAGACTAGTACTAACCAAGCAAGCTTTGACAAAAATATGACTAACAAATAAGGGTAATGCTTAAATAAGAAAGTATACTCATGATTGATATGCATATTATGTGAGGTTGTTCGAGAAGAGTACACTTGTAGTGCTCATATGATATGCATAAGTGATGATATAGTATGCCCAAGTATGCAAGTAATCAAAATCATATTCTATTTTTAACCCTAGATTTCACAATAATAAATTATTTAAAGTTGCAGCTAATTCAAACAAATCAACTTATGACATAAAAACATTCATTTAGATGCAAAAAGAACTATATTTGTTCAAACTTGCAGTCGATTTAAGGACTCAACTTCATAATAAATACTACCATACTAAATAGTCCTTGCTAGAAAATGCTTAACAACCAAAAAGATATAGATCAATCTTTACAACATAAAGATCAAACTTTTGAACAGAGGGAAAATTTAGAACATATAGAATAACTTTGGAACATAGAGAGAAAACTTTAGAACATAAAGAAAAACTTAATAACATAAAATGATAAACTCTAAAATATATAAGCTAAACTTTAGAATATATGTAGTAAGCTCTAGAACATAAAGAGTAAATTTTAGAATATTAAAGATTAACTTTAGAACATAAAAGGATAAACTTTCGAACATAGTGGATTTGATCCTATGAACAATAACTAAATGGGATCCCAATAAGGCAACAAATTAACCAAGGTCTATCAAAGGTTGTACTTTTCTAAAAAAAAACAAAAATTATATGATGAAATTAAAATTATAAACCTGAATTGAGATCAACAACGATATTAAAATTACAAACAAAATCAACATTCAAAAAAATTGCAAAGTAGAAATTAGAATGAACCAAGCAACCAAACCAAGAGTATGTAATTTTGACAACCAAACTAAGCAATCAACCTTAGTATTATATTTAAACAAGATCTGGAATGATTAGAACAAAAAGAAAAACAAGCAAATCAAACTGAAGAACAAAAAAACGCAAAAAAATCGATCAAAAGAAAACAATAATGAAAAACTACACAATCGATTGAAATTGAATAAACAAAACTTGATATTCAACACAAAAATCAATGAAATTATAATTCGAATCAAACATAAATTCAATAAAAAAAATTATAGAAATTATAAGATTGATAAATAAACCCTAATTTAACATCATACCTTTAAAATAACACCATAACAAAAAATTTGTAAAAATTGATGATGATAATCAATGATATGTTGTAGGGTGAAGGGACTTTAGCAATAGTGAAAATTTAGAACATAAACAAAAAAAAAGAAAAAAAAAAAGAAACTTTAGAACATAGGTAGTAAAAATTTAGAACTTAGGAAAAAAAAACTTTAGAACATAAGTAGACTGAATTTAGATCATAGGCAAAAGAATTTAGAACATAGGTAAAAGAATATTTAGAACATAAGAAGAAGAAAAAAAACTTTAGAACATAGGTTGGAAAAATTTAGAACATAGGAAGAAAAAAAAAAAAAAAAAAAAAAAAAAAAAAAACTTTAGTATATAAGTAGACTAAATTTGGAACATAGAAAAAAAAATTAGAAAATAGGTAGACTAGATTTAGAACATAAGAGTAGGCAAAAAAATTTAGAACATAAAAAAAGAATTACAGAAATGCCATTACTAAAGGATGGTTTTAGATGGTTGGATCAAAACTAATAAATGGTTGAGATTGGTTCTTATATAAGATTGAGTTCTTATATAGAGGAGGGTTCTTACATGAGCCTTCCTCTATATATATATATATATATATATATATATATATATATATATATATATATATATATATATATATTGAAACAAATGTTAATGTAAAGCCGATAATTAAAGCGTAATCTTAAAAAAAAGAAAAAAGAATTAGAGCATAAACGATGATTAGAGCTATCGTGGAATTGGTGATGGAGCTGGTTGTCAAGGTGGAGCCGCGGTGGTGATGCCTTAGATGGTCAATGTTAGTGATGGCAGTCGTGGTATAGGCGGTGGAGCTGATGGTCAAGGCGGAGTTGCGATGGTGATGCCTTGGATGGTCAAGGACTCAAGTTTAGAGATGTAAGGTCAAATTTTGGCAATTGTGTGAATGTAAGTAATGATGGGGGTATTGAGGTCATTTAATACCACGATTTCATCGTGGCATTTAGCAATTCAAAATCTACTCGTCAACAATTCCGCCGGTTAAATTTGGTTGCCGTGTAATACTCCTACAAGTCCTCCTGCATACAACATTAATTCCGAGTTAGATACCATTCATATTCTTTACTCTCTCTCCTCCACCAACCTCACTCTCTTTTTCTCTCTCTACTCTTTCTCTCTCTACTTCGCCGGCAAAAATGGCGAGGAAATCCTTCATCGACGTCTCACCGGAATCCGACTTCCCTATCCAGAACCTTCCTTACGGTGTTTTCAAGCCCGAACCCGCTTCACTTCCTCGACCCGGTGTTGCCATCGGTGACTTTGTGCTCGACCTCTCTCAAATTTCTTCCGCCGGTTTATTCTCCAGTCCACTTCTCAGTGGTTCCGACTGCTTCAATCAGGTCTTCTTTTCATTTTCAATTGTTCAACGATTAAAATTTTGGTCAAAATTGTCAAAAATTAGTCATGCATATTTGATGTTATTGGATTTTGTATGTTGTACTTCCTCCTTTCTATTAATATCGCTCTTATTTGACCATATAATATATTTTATACGTTAAGCAAAATATAGTCATGTGAGATCCTGTTGGATTCGTCTCGTCAAATGCTTTCACAATATCAACTTTTTATAATTTTTATTCTTATACAATTATATATATTTAGCATATAAAATATGCTTTGGGATGCGTAATTTCATCATTGTTGCAATATTAATAGAAGGTAGGAAGTATGTTTTAATTTGTTTATATTTGTGTGGATTTTTGTGTTGGATTTTATTTATGTACCGTGAATATGTTGAAATTGTGCTGTGGTTTTATGATATAGAATTTTGAAATTATAAGTCTTGTATACAACGGTTGTATAGTAATTTGTACACACGGCAACGTAATTAGTCACTTCGGAAGTTCAGATAATGTAAATGTAGTCACCTTTTTGCGAAGTTGACTTTATGTGATTGCGGGTAATGAAGTGTTATGAGATTATGATGTGAGTACTGTGACTTTATGATCAAAACTGTAGGTATTGGATACAACAAGTGTATTGTAATTTGTACATACTAGCATACTTGATCACTTCAATTTGAGAGTCATCTCTTCGCGAAGTTGACTTTATGTTATTTGGGGTGATGGAGCCTAATGTATACTGTATGATACATTCGGTGTACAGTAGTTTTTGTCATAAGGTTCTTGAATTTGTGCTGAAAATTTATTTTGTTAGTTTAAGCGTTGGGTTAAGGATGGTTTACTCGAGTTTATCAAGCAATTTATGTATCTAAGAACAATTTTTTGTGTTGAAATTTTAGTACGTAATTGTCTCTAATGGTGAATTCTGACCAATAGATGATTTGTTTAAATTTTAATATGGAAAATTTCTATAATCAGTGTAATGGACGGCTTCAACACTGATAGTTGTTTGGATAGAAGGAAATGAAAGGAAAGGAAGGGAAGAGAAAGGGAGGAGGACAAACTCTCTTGTTTGGGTAAATGATTGGGGGAAGGAAGGAGAAAGAGAGGGAGGGATCAATAAGCATAATCCCGATCCCTCCAAAATTGGAGAGATTTGGAGGAAAAATGGAGCTCACCTCCCCCCTCCCTTTCTTTTCCCTTCCCTTCTTCCTCTTTCCGTCCCCTTCCTTTCCTTCCTTATTTTCTATCCAAACAAAGCATAAGTTAAAATTTAAAAGTATGGTTCTTTTCCCTTTATTAGTGGAATTTGATTTTTATGTTCTTTCTTTGGTGGGATCTTGAAAAGAGGTGCTGATTAACACCACCTTTATTATTATTATTATTATTATTTTTTTTTTTTTTGTTATACGGTAAGATAGGGGGGTCCCCCACCCTATCACAGGAATTGGGGGGGGGGATGAGGATTGAACCCCCAACCACTTGGGGGGGGGGGGGGGAGATGGAGGGACTAACCATCCCTCCATCTCCTATGTCCTTAACAACTTCTTATTAATGGAAATATTGAATTATATGATGTGCAGAACTCCAGATGCTTGAAAAATGTTTTCTTCGAGATCCATGAATCTATAGTTATTTGTTTTAAATAATGATATTTTTGAACTACTAAGAAACTCTGTTGATAATTTGCGCACTACATTTCAATGTCCTGTGAAAAATTGAAAATCATGTCAAAATATGACATGCAAATACCACATCATGTTCTTTCTTCCAATTCTGTCAATCATTCTTGTTTTAGCTATGTCTTCTATACTAGTGCAAACTGCTTAGCAACTTTGTTATGAAAATAGCCTACACTCAATAAATTTATGGCAATGGGACGACCTGCGTGGAAGGAGGCACGTGCAACCATTCAGAAGCTACTATCAGGTATGCGGGATCTCCTTGTTTCATCTATCTACTTGCTTGATCCATACTAAATCTAACTTTCTCAATAAAAGGAACATAAGCTTTGTTGGAATTCCAAGATTTCAACCTGCAAGATTAGGCTGGGAAAATTTTGACCTATTGTTTTTTTTTTTTTTTTTTTTTTTTTTTTTTTTTTTTGGCTACAGAAAGTGAGCCAACATTGCGTGACAATGCAAGTTTGAGGCAGAAAGCACTAATTCCGATGGTAAACTGCTCCTGTGACATGGCAATTTTAAGCTAGACTATTTTATTTACCTGTATAACAGTTCTAAATATTTATAACCTCCTTGTTTAGAGCAAGGTGGAGATGCTTGTACCTATGACCATTGGAGACTACACTGACTTCTTCTCATCCAAGCATCATGCTAAGAATTGTGGGCTCATATTCCGTGGCCCAGAGAATGCCATTAATTTGAATTGGTATGACATGTGTGATATTCCTAAAGAAATGCTGTTGTTAAGCTGGATATGTTGCTCAATGATATTGATTGAAAATTGGGTAGGTACTATATTCCTATTGCTTATCATGGGCGTGCATCTTCTGTTGTCATCTCCGGAACTGATATAGTGAGACCAAGGTCTGATTTCTAGTTGCATTTCTGATCATTTTACTTCTCATTTTCTTTTCCAATTGCATAAGAAATAGATTTCACTGCAGCCAGAATTATTACATATAATTTGTATGCTCATGAAATTTGATACTTCTACAGCTATACTTTTCCCCCAAAAAATGAAAAGAAACGTGATACTTATATATTGTTGGTTCATTTGGTTCATTATATCCTGTTGGTATGCAACATCCCATCAAAAGCTAGCAGCATTTATTGATTGAGCTCTTCCTCTCTTACACACCTCTGTAATTGATATGTCATACAATTTTCTATTCTATTAATTTATCAAATTCATCATTCTGTTTTTCTTATCAGAGGGCAGGGACCTCCAGTTCCTAACTCGCCATCTCCTTACTTTGGGCCCTCACGGAAGTTGGATTTTGAGCTGGAAATGGTATAAGCTGTAGCTCTCTTCTCTACTTTTACTTTATACAAGCATAATATTTTCAGAGTTAAGAGACCATAAACGGTGGAATAAGTTTTACTAAGATACTCTTTTGGTTGTGGAAGTGGCCATGTTTTTTGATATCTGTACATAGTGCTAATCAATAGTCGGATTATGTGGGTTTTTATGATACTGCAGGCTGCAGTAGTTGGTCCAGGGAACGAATTGGGGAAGCCTATTGACGTTAATAATGCTTCTGATCACATCTTTGGGCTTGTTCTGATGAATGATTGGAGTGGTAGATCTATTTCTTAACTTTATTTTACAATCTGGATTGCTTCTATCTGTCAAAAAAATTTACGAGTAAATTTTTCCACAGCTAGAGATATTCAAGGTTGGGAATATGTGCCTCTTGGACCTTTCCTGGGGAAGAGTTTTGGTATGTTTTTTTTTTTTTTTTTTTTTTTCTCCATAATGGTTAGTTAATTTGACTTTACATATTTGGAGTTTATGAAGTAATGAAACATATTTCTTTGTTTAGGTACAACTATTTCTCCATGGATTGTGACCCTAGATGCTCTTGAACCTTTTGTATGTGGTGTCCCAGAACAGGTACTTGATGTATTAGTTATCTGGCCTTTAGGTGATTTTGATTTGTATCAAGGAGTGAAGACCTGAGAAAGATTTATATACAAAATTGAAAATTGTCATTTCAACTTATGAGCTTTCTTGTCTTCAAATTGAACTTTTACCAAACATCCATGTTGATGATAAGTACATTGATTTGGTACCGCTGTGTAACTGTAGGACCCTCCCCCATTGCCATATTTGGCTGAGAAGACATCGAAAAACTATGATATACAATTGGAGGTATTATGTAGTTCTGTTTATAATTTTCAATTCTGACATTGATCCATTCCTGATTCCTAGGTTAGTTCTGCAGTATCCAACATCCTTATGTTGGCTGGCCTGCTAAATATTTGGTATTGAGTTCTAGCTTTATTTATTATTTTTTTTTAATGATTGATATTTTTTGGTTGTTAGGTTCAACTCAAACCTGCTGGAAAGGAGCCTTGTGTAGTAGCTAAGAGCAATTTTAACCATTTGTAAGTATCTCACATCCATTCTTTGTCCTTTCTTCTGTTTGTGGCTCCCATTTGGTAAGTAGTATATATTTGGTATGATTGTAGTTAGAGAAAACTTTTAAAGGTGACACCATTATTTTTAATGCGATACTAATTGGTAAGCTGATAATTACAAATACTGAAATACAGATGGGGAAAGTGTCTTAAAATTGCAAATTATGCCATTTATCTGTTACTAAGTTTTCTGTGGATGGTAGGAGGATATCTACTGTTGTTTTCCTATTTTTCCTGCTTCTGTACTAACTGTAGGGTGTAGTCTCATTTTTTTTGTTCTTACTAGTATGTATGATGTTATCCAATACTAATTGTCTTTTGATGATTTAACCATCTTGTTTGTGCAACTTATTTTCTCTTTTGGGGTTTAGGTACTGGACGGTGACGCAGCAGCTTGCTCATCATACAATTAATGGTTGCAATTTAAGGCCTGGTGATCTCCTTGGGACTGGTACAATCAGTGGTCCTGTAAGTGTTTGTTATGGCTCTTATACAGCTTTCCGGAAATTGAATTTATTGTTGGTAGTTGTGCTAAATTGTTGGGAGATTTTGATCCTGTTTGATTTGCTGACAGGAACCTGATTCTGTTGGATGTTTGTTGGAGAAAACATGGAATGGACAAAAGCCACTCTCTTTGAATGGAACATCTAGGACATTCCTAGAAGATGGAGATGAGGTCATTATTACTGGTGTTTGCAAGGTTTGTTACCTTCAAAATTCCCATACCTTAGAAATTTTCAAATTCGTTAAATGAAATTGGAATTGTGCTCTTATGGAGGTCATTGCATGAATGCATCATTGTACATTCGCTCTGAAAAATGCATACATATGCACATGCTCATTAAATTTGAAGTTACTGTTTGAATGGAACTATAAAATCAAAAAGCAGGACAAAATTCATGAACTTGCAAAACATTGGCTCATTTAGTGGATGATTTAGAATAAATCCTGAATCATGATTAGTCGAGTGCTGGTCACAGGCAATACTGCAGATTTTGTAATTCTGAAGTATGTATACTTTTATTTGAGATATTTTGGAACAGCACAACTATAACTCTGGTATATATGCTCCCCTAGCTAAAACTCTGGTGTTATGCTCCCCTAGCAAAAACTCTGATATCTTGGACATGCTTAGTTGCTTGCTAATATTGATATTTGTTCTTTTCACCTTGTTAAAAATTTGAAATAGTTCAAGTCTAGATAAGGGATACCAAGTTCACTTTAATACTACAAATAAGTCAAGTGATAGTAGATGATGTATTCCTGGGTCATTTAATGTTGTACTAGTCCCCATTTAACCGTATTGTCACCTAAAAGCAGAGGGGGACCTTCCACCGGGACCATTCGGGGCCAGGTCCCCCGTAAATTATTGTAATTAATTAGTTAATAAACTTTTTTTTTGAACGGGAATCAGTTAATGAACTTAAATAACCTATATTTACTTATACTACGTAAAATATTGGTCATGATGATTAGTTTTGAGCGAGGGGTAAAATATTTAAATCCCGGCCCCTCTAATATTTTCGGCCAAGATCTGTCACTGCCTAAAAGAAAATTTCTCAAAATCTTAATACCTTTATGTTGGATTCTAGCAAAAAAAAGGGATATTATTATCATATTTTCATAATCTTACCTGTGAAATATCCCGATTCAATAGGGTCCAACTTAAAAAAAGGGAGAAATAGTAACATGAAAAATTATTCCTTGCACCAACTCTGACGGTTGCCTACCGACAAAATAAGTGTTTGATTTTTTTTTTGACACAAAATAAGTGTTTGTTAACCACACTTCCACTGCACAAAAAACCTCTCTTTCACTTTCCCAAAATTCCATTCTTTACCAAAAACAAAATGAAGAACAACTCCGAATTCAGAGAAAAATACGCGTACCCAATTCTAGGAATAGCTACAATTGCTACACTTCTCTTCCTCAATTTCAGTAATCAGCTCACTTTCGAATTTCCCACTGTTTTTTGGCAAAAAAACATGGGTTTTGTTGGGGTTAATTCCACCAATTTCATCATAATCAACAGCCATTATCAATATGATCAAAGGGTGTATGTTAATGGGTGGAATTCTTATTGGTTGATGGAGGCAAGTGTGTGGGACCCATCAAGATCAAAGGTTTCTAGAATGCTTAAGAAAGGTGCTCAAATGGGGTTGAATGTTTGCCGTACTTGGGCTTTCAGTGATGGGCCCGGCCCGAATTCCTTGCAGATTTCTCCTGGGGTTTTCAGTGAAAGAGTGCTCAAGGTATCTTTTTTGATTTCTCTCTTCTGTTTTTGTGAATTGTCCTGTTTTATCTGTTTAATTGAGCTGTTTGTAGTGATGTAGCATTTATATTGGTGTATAGATAGTTGTAAAGGGTAATGATATAGACAAATTTGATTCCACGCTGTGGTAACTTCTTTCGAGACTTAATCAACTAAGCTAGATGCCACCCCGAGTAATGTAGTACTAGTAGTATGGTAGTTTAAAGGTAGGTGAAATTATGTAGAGAAATAAGGTATTCACTTGTAGGTTTGGAGACTTGTAGGTTATTTGGTTTGTTACTTAGAATATGGTCAAAAAGTTTCTTACATTAGCTTTTGGACCTATAGAGGTTGTTTTAACCATAGTTAATGTTTCCAAATCAAATTGTATGAGTTTGTCTAATCTCTCCCAAGATTTGTTTTTATGATTGATGAGCTTATTCTTTAGCAGTTAGGCTCATGCTATTATGCTATGTGCTGTATCAGAAGTAATGGGGAATGCTACTAAACGTGTACTCGTGTAGCTAATCTAGCTATGAGTATATTAGGGTTCAATGTCACTGACCTGAATTAATCAGTAGATTGAATGAACAACTTGAAAATGATACAATTGCACTTTCGAGAAAAATATGTGGATTTTCTGCCTAACTCATTTAATTAATATGCTATGGTATTGGGTTTTTTATGCAACAGGGATTGGATTATGTGATAGTGGAAGCAAGGAAGAATGGTGTCAGATTGATTCTTAGTCTAGTAAACAATCTGAGTGCATTTGGTGGTAAAGCACAGTATGTGAAATGGGCACAAGAAGCTGGAGTAGTAAATATCTCAACGTCAGCTGATTCCTTCTTTGCAGATTCAACAATTAAGGACTATTACAAAGCTTACATCAAGGTACTTGAGTAACTTGACTATATTCTTGTAGGAGAAGAGCCCTTCTATCTTTTCTAGCTGGCGTTAACAATTTTATAGAATTGAAGTTAATCAGATTATATGTGTTACTGAACTTGCAATTGCCCTTTGGTGTGGTGATATCTTAACCACTAACCAGCATAACTGCATGCAAGTCTGTAATAGTGGTAGAAGTAGAGTAGGCTTGAACATGTACATCACTAACCTGCTGTGAGGGGATTAAATAAAACAGGTTTTTACACTTTACGCAAATGGGTTATTGCTTTAACAGATATCTTAAGCAGAATTATGTTGCTCAGTGACTCATCATCACTTCAGTTATAGCTATCCCAACCTATTTATCTCTTGGCTTGGTTTCTGAATGCTATAGGCCATTGTAACGAGAAAGAACTCCTTAAGTGGAGTTAGATATTCTGAGGAACCAGCCATATTTGCATGGGAACTTATAAATGAGCCGCGATGTGGTTTTGACTCTTGTTCTTCCACTCTTCAGGTAAGCTTTCTATCTAGTGTGTGTGTGTGTTGGGGGGTGGGTGGGTAAGGAGGGTTGGTAATCTAAGAAAGATCAGGCTTTCTCTGTTGGGGTGGCATAGTGTGGCAAGCTATAGCTACATTTGGTGAGAATTGTAATCTAATCTTCAGTAAGCAGTGACTTGCCAAACTGAGCCACCCCTGATTCTGTATTACTTTTTCTTGGTATTTCTGGCCTTTTGACCTTCCTTTTTCATTGAAATGATTGGCACAAAAGATTTATCTCATTCAAGTTATTTGATTTTTCATCAATTACTTATGCATCCTGTTTTTTATAGGCTTGGATTACTGAGATGGTTGCATATACCAAGAGTTTGGACCAAAAGCATCTTGTTACCATTGGTCTTGAAGGTTTCTATGGACCCAAAACTATTGAAAAATCAAAAATAAATCCTGGATAATGGGCTGCCTCGCTTGGAACTGATTTCATACAGAATTCAGCTATTGATGGTATCGACTTTGCTTCAGTTCATGCATACCCTGATAGCTGGTTAGTGAATCGGATCTTTGATAAAATTGACTGCTTGAATCTTCAATTTTTTTTTTCTTCTCATTCCTTACTCTACATGTTAAAATATAGGATGCCACGCAAATGTTACTGCAAAACTGGATTTCCTTTCACACTGGTTGGATTCTCATATTAGTGACAGTGAGAATATCCTGAAGAAACCTGTTCTGTTTACTGAAGTTGGCTACCCATTACATGTGAAAGGCGAAAATGTTCATTATGGTGATAACTTGATGGGAACCGTCTATGATAAAATTTTTGAGTCTGCCAAGAAGGGTCAAGCAGGAGCTGGGTCCTTGATATGGCAGTTGTTGGTTGAAGGAATGGAGGAATTTGGAGACAGATTTTCTGTTGTAGCATGGAATCACCCTTCTACCTATAAACTGATTGCAGAACAATCATGCAGGCTAAAGAGTATCATGTGGAAAAGGAAATCTGCTGGAGAACTTAATGGAGAAGATACTTGCTCCGGTCTTGTGCCTTAGTGGACTGGCATGAATCAGAACTTTAACTCCTCATGTACCCGTGTAGCATTCTAAACATGCCGACTTGGGTATGTACACCTGAGATTTCACTAGGACTGAAAATATGGAAGTTTTCATACAATACTGATTCTGACACTACAGGTTGGATACATAACCTTGTCTATCACCAGTACCCTAGTCCTAGTATATGAAGCCTGAAATTAAATATGCAGAATATAATGGCTGGGCTTTGAAGCTTTTAGTTTAAAGATACCAGTTTTGATGAATTCAATTAAATTATTGGCTGCGGTCAAGGAGAGAATTGAAGAAGGCAGAAGGCCGCAGAACAACATGTGTGCATCGATGTGAATCATAGGCATGTTTTTTTTTTTTTTTTTTTCCCTTTCCCTTCTTCTGTTTATCTCTTTGAATTGTGTATAGTATTAGTATAGTATGGTTCCAAGCATACCTGTAAATGTTGGAGGATTAGTTTCTGTGAGAGCTTTTATTGTTTACATATGTTTATGTCTTGGGAAAGAGGAAATTTTTTTGTAATTTATTGATGGTAAATGAACTTTCAATCTGAAGTGATTTAAGAGCAATGATGGTAGTGATTCACGCTTCCTTTACTCAGAAAAGCAGTGATGAGTTTGAGCTTGAACATGGTTTATGTGAAGCAATGTTTGCGATATTAAAGTAATCACCATCCTTTGTTTTGAATGGGAATTTGTATTTGCTTATTTACATGGATTTACTTTGAGTTGTTGCCAAGCAGCAGTCTCCATTTCTGCCTTACTACATTTTGAATTTTTTGACTGTTAAATTCACCTCAAGCATCTTGTCAGATAACTCGACACATAATTTGGATCCAATTGTGCAAATTCAGAAAACATTTGATTCTGAACACAAGGTTTCATATGAGTCCAGATGGACCTGAGGGTTGGACATGGAATTTGATAGATTTTCATCTGATCATATCATAATACTAATAAAGTATAATTCTGATAAAACTCCATCAAATTAGCATTACTTTATACTAATCATAACTATATTGATTCTGTCTTTGCAGGTTCAACAAGAAAATCTTGGTGTCAAACCAGGGCAAAGAACTGCTGTCAAGAAATTTCAATCAAGATTCATGGAAGCCAAAATAGAAAAGTAAGTAATTCATCTCAATCAAAGACAATTGAACTTGACACACAACATTAAGATGATGAGTCAGTTAGCTCGGAAAAAAAACTAAAAAGAAGAAAAAGAGGCAAAGTACAACTACAAACTGTCCATTTGATTGATCTACATAGCACAGCTGCACCTGCACTTAGACATGCACTTCTTGCAGTCAGATAACTTCGGATACTTATCATTGCAATCGCACCTCTTTATGCACTTAGTCTTCGACGTTCCTGCCCACAGGCATTTCGCCATGCAGCGTAGTGCTGTTGTACACGACGGGCAATCATATTTCATCCTTCTCAGAATGCAGCCTTTGCAATCAGAGCTGTCATCTGGACATGCTGATGCTGGTAGTATTGCTAACCATGAAATCAGAAGCGCAACTAACACGAAAGATTCGAACTTAAGCTTCGTCCTGCCCTCCATGTATTCCTTCTCAAAGTAGCGAATAATGGAAGACTCTAACTAACCTCTATAAAAGATTGCTGTATTGCTTGAGCAAACTTTGTTTCTTTCACTTTAGGAAAGAGCTTATTATAGAGCTTGGATGCTGCAGCTGTAGTGGGCATTTATGCATTGCTTGACAACCATCTGTGACATAGATAGAGGGGTTTGCTTATATCTATGCAGATATGGCAGCTATTTGACAGTAATGGGCTTTGCAGATCATAAATTACACGTAATATTTGATATTCGCCTAGATTATTAAACCAAGTTGGGTAATGTTATATGTAGCCATTAGGGCTAAGAATAAACATATAATATCTTTCCTAATTTGGTATTAATTTAGTAATGCATGACAATTAAAAATCACAAAATCACGCGTAAATCAGTATGTAATTAATGTTATATTTTCATTTTTTTTCTTCTATTTTTAGCTCCTTATATGTAGCCCTAACGATTATGTATATGATAATTAATTACGCTTTTGATATTTTAAAATGTGCTGTAAAAGCTTGATGTTCGCCTAAATTATGAAACTAATAGTAATAAGGATGTTTAAGGCAATCTATAATGCAGAGTATTACATTAATATTTTGATATTGCATTGGTATCCGATACAGAAGTAAAAGTCCATAATACCCCTTGATATCCGAAACAAGGATATCGAATATATCAACTTGTATTTCCTCCTCGGAAAGTTATGTGAAAAACAAAATCGTGATTGATATTATAAATTGTACTGTTTGTAATAAACTTTAGTGAATGCATGTAATTGTCCAATTATTTCGTCCATTCACTAGTAGTTTTGGAGTTTGAAAGTTTAATGGCTATTGTCTTCGACTAAACTATAAACCAAGTTCTAATTAGTAGTAAACTAAGTAAAATTATGTTGCAGATGAGAAAAAAATTTGAAAATTAGAAAAGAACAAGTACTACTTTTACTAAACTTTGGAGGGGAAAAAACCGCTTCCAAATGTTTTGGAAATTTTACTTTACTAAGTTCAACAAAACGATCATTTAAAAGGTTTAATGGTGTGAAAACGTTGGCAAACTGTTAATTAGTTTTTTCATTCATTATGGTCCAAAACCTCTTAATTGATCAAGACAAAATTGTGCACATCTAAATCACTATATGTCGTCCATGACATTTGTTATAGGCTGTTTTGTGCTATATATTTTTGTAATTGTATAACAAAACACTCTTTTAACTTTAATAATTATTTAATCATCAAACAATTTAAATGAAGTTAATGTTAGAATTCATTGATTGCAAGATTTAATACCAGGCCAACTCTCAACCTCCTATATATTGGTATGTGAGATCCATTATCAGTTTGCAGCAACAAAGCTTGTGGCTGTGGTAGAGTTTACTACTGTGCAATTTGTTGCATGAAGTAAATGCGTTCTAAAGGGACCTCTTTACTCTCTTAAAGATTAAACCTTGTTCTTTACGAGTTTTTTTTAAGCTAACGAATGTTTCCAGGGTATTAGATAACCATTAAAATATTTTTCAAAATGGTATTAATACAAGAATGCATGCCAATCACGAGTCAATCGTTGTAATTCATTTCAAATTAGTATTTCTACTTTTAATTATCTTATCCAACGCCTCTAGGACATTTGTTAACTTATGTCTTTTTAAATTCACAAATGTTTTAATGTTTCACTTCATGTGGGTATCAATTCAATTTGGGTCATTGGTTATTTCGGTGCAGGTTAGGTCAACTTTTAGTACTTTTACGCTCAAAAAGTTATTTTATTTGAAAATCGTTAAATTTGTGAATATATCAAACCTTATACTTGTATCTATACTTATTTTGTTTAAACCTTTGTCAATTGATCTTCTAAGATCAAACTTCACTCAAATTTATAAGGTTTACAACATTTGTGTTTATAATCATGATCCAAGTTCAAAATTCAAAATTTAAATTAGGGGTGGTTCTGAGCACGTGTAAGGTGAGAAACCACACAAGGTCTTTAAGTGTAAGAGGCTCACATATTTCATTAAATATATATATATATATATCACCACGTGTAATTCAAATAATGTCAAATTAACTATTCCTAGTAAGCATTGTTGGCCTAAAAAGAGTCATTTTCTCATTTATTTTACTTGGTAAGGAGGATTCTGACCAGATCTCAACCCTCACAGTTTTTTGGTCCAGTATTTGCGGGCCAGCCACTTGAAAGTAGAAGGGAGGGTAAGGTAATCCCTACCCCCAAGTACCCTCACTTGGTAGGATTTGAACCTCAGACCTCTAGGATCTAAAGTAAGAACTAATCTTACCAAATGAGCCAACACTTTATTGTCATTTTCTCATTTATTGATACACATATTTTAGTCTCCGATTCATCTAAAAATACAAACATTGAATTAAGTTTTCAATAAAGTCCTCACACTCGTCAAATCCTTATCAAACTCTAGCCAATATTGGCCATTGGGCTATAGCCTATGGGCTATAGCCTAGCCTATAGGCTATAGCCTAGCCTATAGGCCAGCAACTAACTTCATTTAGAGGTGCTGTGGTGCACATTGCTCCATACAAAAGTTCGCATCATTTTGACTTTTATACTTAATTTACTTTTAAATAGAGTTATATATTAGGAAACGTCGCGGTAAAATCAAAGTGATGTAATTAATTCTTAACCGTGGATATATCAGCTACTATTTGTGTTATTTAGACCTTATATAAGCTTCCCACCTTAAAGCATATAAAGTCAGGAATAAGTCTCCTCACTACAAGCTTAAGTAGTAATATAAATTAGCTACTTCAAACATTTTATAATTTCTAATATTATTCATTAGCAGCGAAATTAGTATTCGTAACTATGTTAAGTGAAGATAATAATGGAGCTAATCCCTGTTACTTAGATTCATCATCACCAATCTCTTTACTCTTACTATTATTGATGTAGTGATGTCATATGGTTACTGCTATTTCTTTGTCACAAAGTTGCGGGCATACTAAGGCTAATTTCTCTCCTTGGTGTATTTTGTTTTACGAAATACTCCGTAATTTTTTTTTTACTAAGAAACTTTTAGTGTAAATTTGATAATATAGCAAAATATCTTAGTTAATAAAACCCGTGTATATTGCCATTGTTATTATTTGTAGCACCGCGTCTAATTCAAATAATGTCGAATTAACTACTCCTAGTCTCCTAGTATATTGTACTATTGTTGTCCCAGAAAGAGTCATTTTCTCATTTTTTTTTGATACACATGAATTAGATTCATCCAAAAATATGAACATTTGATTAAGTTTTCAACAAAGTCCTCACACTCGTCAAATCCTCATCAAACTTCAGCCAGTATAGGCCAGCAACTTCATTTAGAGGTACAGTGGTGCTGTGGTGCACAATGCTCCGTACAAAAGTTTAAATAAGCATATGCGTTAATTTGACTTTTGCACTGTTGTAGTTTTATTTATTTATTTATTTATTTTTTATTTTTTTAAAGTTGTATCATTTTAGTTTTTACGAACTCCTATACAATTTTTGGAGTAGAAACAAAAATAAATAGCGCCTATGTGATAGAAAAGAGATAGAGAGAGTTTATTATTTAAAAAGGAAAGTGATGTAACTAATAATTTGAAAATATCGTTTTAAAAAAGTGATGCAACTTTAAAACAGCGGAGAAAATATTTTTATTATGGAGTTAAATAAATTTAAATAAAGTTGTATGTCGGTAAACGTAAAGTCAATGCGATGCAATTAATTCTTAACCGTGGACATATCAGCTACTATTAGTGTTATTTAGACCATGTATAAGCTTCCCTTCTTAAAGCATATAGAGTAAGGATCATAAGTCTCCTCACTACAAACTTAAGTTGCAACATAAATTAGCTACTACATACATTTTGTAATTTCTAATTAATATTATTCATTAGCAGTGAAATTAGTGTTACTAATTATGTTAAGTGAAGTTGATGAAGGAGCTAATCCCTCTTACTCAGATTCATCATCACCAATCTCTCTACTCTTACTACTATTGATGTCATATGGTTACTGCTACTTCTTTGTGACAAAGTTGCCTAAGGGCGTACCAAGGCTAATTCCACTTGTTTGTGTATTCTACGTTCTTTTTGTTGCCTCTTGGTACTTCCCTTCATCTATCTGATCTCCCTTCGAGGGCTCGCGTCTTTCTTATTTCTTGGATCTCCTCTTTCAAACTCGTACTCTTCTCGTTTGGTAAGGGTGATCTTATTCTTTGTGATAGTTATGTAAACTTTGTGGTCGTTGCCGTTTTCCCTTTTAAAATTAGGAATGAAGCCATCATCAGTACGTGTTTTGTTCGAAAGGGTACTGAAAAGGATCAGATGTACACAACCTTATTTTCTGACAACAGTAGTTTGTTGTCGGAAAATGTATTGCAAATACTAGTACTAGCGATGTCAATATCAATTTTCGCCCTTTCTTTACGTGATGGAATGATATTCCTCCTAGCACTTATCATTGTCGTCCACCAAATGTTGCCACATTTAGAGCCAATACCTATTTTGAAGCAGCCCTATAGAGCTACATCACTTCAAAATTTCTGGGGTAGAAGATGGAACCGAGGTTCTTCAGATATTCTAAGGCACACAATTTACAATCCAGCGCGTATCTTACTAGAAGTTTACGTCGGAGTTGGTCCAGGACAAGTAGTAGCATTGGTTGTCACCCTAGTAGTATCCGGGATAATGCACGAGATAATGTTCTACCACATGACTTGTGGGATGAAACCCACTTGGGAGATGACCAAGCTCTTTGTTCTACAAGGATTTTTTATGGATCTTGAGATGTTAGTCAAGAGGTTTTGGGTACGAACCCTAGGGTGGTCATCGATCCACCCGGTTGTTTCCGTGCCATTAACACTTAGTTTTGTGTTAGCAACGTCATATTGGCTGATTTTTCTCCCTGTTAGGAGAATTGCAGGGGTAGGATGTGATAGGAAGGTTTAGAGGTACCCTTAATGAGAAATATGTCAAATGTGTAAAAAGTTTGAAAAAGATGTGTCTTATTTTTAATTAATTATTATTTATTATTTTTATTCATCACATATCAATTAAATTGCTCTAAGCAATATTGTATGCAATAACAAAGTATTAACTAGGTGTTGGATCACTTATTAGGGAGCTTATCTTAGATCCTAATGGTTTAGACTTCGAATCGTATCATGTGATGAGGGTGCTAAAAGGTAGGTATTTCTTACACTTCCTTCTACTACGAAGTGTATGACCTGCAATGAACTAAAAAACCGTGAGCGTTGAAATGTGGTCAAGCAAAAAAGAAAATATAGATATATTTGCAATAACAAAGTCTATGTCATCCAAAAAAAAAAAATCCCAAAACAAAAAGTCTAAACTTTATGTGAGCCAAATAGCAATTTCTGATTCTAAGTACTCTTTAAAATACTGTCACCAGAGATGACTTGAATCACAGCACCATGTGAGAACTTCGGGAAGCTTGTCAACATGTAGAACACAGATTGTTGAAGAAAATAGTTTTTGTCGTTAAGCTTCGAATCAACGTGAATGGATAGTGTTTCCAACACCTTGGCATATTTTAAGATGAACTGTAAAAATTCAATCACTAGTTTGCTACCTTTGTTACTAACTAAACCAACAATTTTCACCATCTTAAGGTGTCTTAATAAACAATTGCAGCTTCTATATTTGGGATTTTAACTCCCTATAGTTCTTCTCTTCATCATAATCATAATTGACGCCTTTGCACTTCACCTACAATAATGAAATTAAACAAATGAGGTTCTTTATTCACTTGCTTCACATGATACATAGGTTTTATTTATTTATTTTTTATTTTTATTTTTTTTTGTTGGTTAGAGAGTCACAAGGGCGAGTAATGAGAATTGATCCCAAAATCTCACATGATACATAGTTCTATTGCATGTAATCAATTTTTTTTTTTTTTTTTTATAAATATATACAAAGTAGTAGGTTATTTCATTCTTCAAGTGAAAAGGCCGTGTATAACTTGACACATGTAACCTCCTCCATAAAAAAAAAAAAAAAAAAAAAAAAAAAAAACTTGTCACATTATATAAATAAATAAAGCCAATTCCCATATGTAATCAATGCTGTAAATTGTACGTGATGTCTAAAAATTCTACTCCATAAATAATTATCCATAGTGGTATTTTTTTCAAACCATATAGATCTATCCATGATCCATTATTTATCTTTCCAAAGTCTCAATTGAGTAAGATCCATATATATATGTAGCATACGATGATAACAGCACAAACTAATCAATTGATAGCAATTTAGATACATACCTTAAGTTCCAATGTTGTTGTCATATTAATGGTCAAGCTTTCCAACTCGAGACAATTTTGAAGCATGCTTGCTAGTCCAGGAAGTTCCCATTGCTTAATATTGATATCCAAAGTTAGACTCTTACAATTGAATTGTTCATATTTCCCAACGAAAACCTATTGTTCATCCATATATGAAATGTAAATTCATTAGCTTAGTAGTAGTCAAGTATGCAACAAATTATGAAATTAAGAGATGAAGAAAAATAGAAAGGCTAAAGTAATTGAAGTAGTCACCTGAAGACCCCAAGTCCCTAAAGTAAGTTTCTTCACATTTCGAACACATTCATCATCATATTCTTCGTCATCACTACTTTCACTATCATATTCTTTGTTATCACTACTTCTATTTGTATCCTTTTCTAACCTTTTAAAGCGAATTGAAGAAGATTATCATCATTATGAAAATTTTCGAATTTAAGAATAGACTCCCCCAAATAACACTTGTTATAGCACATAAACCCAGTAATAGTCAATACTTGAAGAAAAGGGGCCGAAATTCGTAACATTTCACCACATCTATGACTCTCAAACTTGCTATTATGAAGCACCAATTGCCTCAAAGTTGTAGAAACTATATCCAATCTTTTGAATCCGTTACAATCAGCCAATTTCAAGTACTCTAATAAAGGACAACCTACAAATATTTTTTGTAACCAATCATCTGCCAATCGATTACGAACTTGTTCTATGGACAAACTCGTCAACGACTTCCAATTAATCTCACCACTAAATCTATTAAAGTTAACACCCCGCAGAGTCAAGTTGGTTAAAACCTCGTTTCGAAACAAGATACTAGGCAAACAATACGAGGACTTGGTACCTAACAATAATTCAAGCTCCTTAGCTTTACGATGAAGTGCTAAACGTATCCAAGAATCCAATTTAGGCTTATCATACTGAAAATTACGATAGAACCAATTATAATCAAAATCAAAGCAACACCTCTCGAAATCGCAGGGATTGTGATAGTTAAAGACTTGATCGACAAAGAAAATAAACTTGTGATTACTGTCCCATGATTGTTTAAAATCAGATTGCCGGAAAACAAGGGAAGGAAGAGAGGTCCAAAGGGAAGACCAATCTTTCTAGGCAAACCCGGCTCGATACACGGCATCGTAGGTTGGAAGATGAGAAAAAATATGGACTAGAATTGGGTCCGGTAATTGGGTTATTCGATCGCTTTCTTTTGAATCTTGCTCTTCTCCTACTCTTTGCCTTTTTTTAGAATTGGAGGTTGTTAATAAGGTCATTATTAACTTATCTTTTGTTGAACTTTTGTAGTTAGGGTTTAGGAAGATTTTATAAGAGAGGTTAAAGATGATGGGATATTGTATAAAGAAAGACTATGGATTGAAGAATGAACTAAGGTGGGTTTTGGGATGGAAATCAGGCCGACTCTCAATTTATAGAGGTGTGGATTAAAATTATTTTACTGAATTAAAATTATTTTTTGTTAAATTTAATTTCTTTTTAAACTTAAATTATTTTTAATAATTCATTACTGATTTTCTAATATATATATATTTTTTAAATTACTGATTTTTGTTAATGAAAGTTTTGTTTTATTGAACTAAACCTATTTTTAAATATTTTTTGGCAGTTTCCTGTCAAATTAACTTAAATCCTATGAAAAAAGGGAGTATATACCTTTCAAAAAAAAAAAGGGAGTATATAGGAATGATAGATGAACCCAAAGGGAAAACTTATATACTTTCTCATTTTATACTAAATTGGACATGAAAAATTATTACACATGAAAAGATTCTAAATTGGCTTCCATCCTAAGTCTTGAGTATTGCGCCCAAAGGCTTTAACCAATTGAACTAGTTGCATGCACTTGGGTATCCCGAGAGATTGTTGTATACATTCGGGTGCACCGTACAGTCGTACACCCATGAGTATTTTGTACTCATCTTGATGATAGTTTTTTTATTTAATCATCAAGTGAGCAAAATCCCAGGCATATAACAAATTTCAGAGTATCCTATGAGCACACATTAGAAAATCCCATTACTTGTACTAAATATTAATAATTTGACTAAGGCAAAGATAAAAGGGTCGCTCATAATTTTGTATTTCCTCTATTCTTTTTTACTTGACCTGCTTTGACTTTTACACTGTTTACCATCCATCCTTTGACCGCCTTTTGTGAATTATACGAAGTATGTAAGGGAAAACATATTCATGTGGGATCTTATTAAAATAATCTTTAAAATTGTGCATTGACAAGCGTGATAAAAGAAAAAAGGTCAAGTAAAACAGAACGGAGGAAGTATTTGTTATACATCAAGTAGCATCAATTTGTTAAAAAAAAAATTTAGCATCAATTAAGTAATACTATGCAATAACAAAGTGATTAATATCATATCATCCAATAGAAAAAGATCCCTTAGAAAAAACCCTAAACTTAATGTGAGACAAATAGCAATTTCTAAGTACTCTTCTTAACACTGTTATTAGAGATGACTTGAATCACCACAGCTGGAGAGGACCTCGGAAAGCTTGTCAACATGTAAAACACAGATTGTTGATGAAAATCATCACCTAACTTCGTTTTGTCGTATCGTTGATCAACGACGTCAATGGATAGTGTTTCCAACACCATCGCATGTTGCAAGATAAACTGTAAAAATTCAATCACTAGTTTGCTACCTTTATCATGAGATAAGCCAACAATATTCACTGTCTTAAGGTATCTTAATAGACAATTGCAGCTTTTGTAAATGGGATTTGACTCCCAAAAATTCTTCTCTTTATCATAATCATATTTGATGTCATTGTACTTCGGCTACAATAATGAAAAAAAAAAAAAAATGAGATTCTATATTCACATGATATTTGTTGAAAATTAAAATAAAATCTATTTATAAAAACTATAGCAAGTTATTCACAGTATCCACAATGATATTTATCATTACTACGACAAATCAAGAACCTCCTCAATCTACCAGGGAAGCAGTCAAGGAAGCAAATGTGGCGGTGAGGTGAGCCAAATCGGTTCTACCACAAACTACTAGCAGGTTATGAGATAGATTCTCCATAATAGAACAATTTGTAATTATTATTAATCAGCCCTCGTTCCCTCAATGGCTACAACCACGGCCTGTGCTAACTCTAATCTCACTGTTGGTGCTAATTCACCACTTTAGGATCCGCCTTAATCATGGGATAGTATTGTAATATGGCTACGATCCGTGACTATATTAACTACTTTATCTTTAATTTAGGCCATGTTCACTTCATTTAAAAAAAACATAATATAAGTAAAAATAAGTTCATTTCAATAAATATAAGTTCAGTTCAGTAACAATCAGTAATTTCAAAGAAGTATAATAAAGATTCAGTAATTCAGTAAAAATAATTTAATTTCAGCAATAATAATTTTAGTTCAGTCAAAATAATTTTAGTTCAGTAAAAATAATTTTAGTTCAGCAAATATTAAGGTGAGATGTGAAGTGGACAAGACCTTAATCTAGTATAGTTTATATAATAAAAAGAGAGAGGATATTTTATAGATCTAACCATTATTTATCACACCTTAAGTCTCAAATGAGTAAGATATATATAAGTAGCATAATCAACAGCACAAACTAATCTATTGATAGCAATTTAGGTACATACCGACCAACTCGTTGTATTAATGGTCAAGCTCTCCAGCTCGGGGCAATTTTGAAGCATGCTTGCTAGCCCAGATAGTTCCCACGGCTCAAAATTGATATCCAAAGTTAAACTCTTACAATTGATGAATGACAAAGATTGATATTCCGCAACAAGAACCTATTATTCATCCATAAGTAATGTAAATTATATTCACTAGTAGTGTCCCAAGGATGCAACAATTTTTATTTATTTATTTTTTTTTTTGAAAGAAGGATGCAACAAATTAAATACATGGCATTGTGCAAAATAAAATTAATAACATCACTATAAATTAAAATGTATAGTAGTGCATTCGGATCTTGCGCTAAAGGGGCTAGTTTAGCGAAATTATTTACTCTTTCAAATAAGTACTAAAAAAAAAAATTACTCATTCAAGTGAAACTATTGATAATACTTGTATATATTTTTTTCAATAACGTAACAATGCTCATTATAATTTTAAACAAAGTGAATTCTAATCATTTCTTTAATTTAAGATAAAAACAAACAAAAAAAAAAAGAAGATAAATTTCTAGCTATATGCTAATTTAAGCTAAAACTTTCATGTCCATGTTTTTAGGAAATACTAAAATTTATATATAGTTTGATCAAAGTCTAATACCTCGATAAGTTGATCAAATACAGAGTACAAAGTACATAGTTAGGTTAAGAAAATAATAACACAAGAATATAATAAGCTAAGATATAAGATAGGAGAGTACAGATAGAAGATACATCATTTCATTGTGATACCAGCTATTATTTATCTCTAAATTATTATATACACCCGGTGCATAGCTCATCTATAGGCATGTAAAAATTTTCAGTCAAGACAAGCATAAGATTACCCCAAAAAAAAAAAAAAAAGGGCTAAATTGAGGTACTCACCTGAAGAACCCAAGTCCCTAAAGTAAGTTTCTTCACATGTCGAACAGTTCCTAGGATCTTTATCGACTTAATGTTACGCTTAGGAGCATTCTCTTCGTCGATACTATCATTATCACTATCATTGTCACTATCAATATCACTGTCACTATCGCTTATACTATGATCATCGTTGTCCATTTTAAATCCAAGAGTAGCCTTGACCAAGCACGAAAGATTCATAACACTACACTTGTTATAGTACATATACCCTGAAACACTCAGTTCTTCAAGAAAAGGGGCAAGAATATGCAACATCTCCCCACATTTTATAAGTCTATAATCCGAAGCTAGTCCGCAATTATGTAGAACCAATTGCCTCAAAGTCGAAGAAACTATTTCTAATCTTTTGATTCCTTTGCAATCGGCCAATTTCTAGTACACTAATAAAGGACATCCCACCAATATTTTTTGCAACAAGGTATCCGTCAAATCGGTTTGTTCTATAAACAAATTCGTCAATGATTTCCAATTAATCTCCCGAGGACAACCCTCAAAGTTAACACCCTGTAAACTCAGAGTGGTTAAAACCTCGTTTCGAAACAAGAAACTAGGCAAACAACACGAGGCCCTGCTACTGTAAAATAATAATTCGAGGTTTTTGACTTAATGATCAAGTGCTAATCGTATCCACGAATTCATTTTCTGCTTATGATACTTATAAATATTAGAGAGCCAAAAATACTCTAAGTCAAAGCAACACCTCTCAAAATTGTTGCGATTGTGATATCTCAAGACTTCATCAACATATAAAATAAACTTGTGTTGATTATTATCATATGATTGCTTTAAGTCAGATTGCCGGAAAACAAGGGATGGAAGAGAGGACCATATCAAGGAAGACCAACCTTTCGAGACAAAAGCGGCTCGATACGTGGCGTCGAAGGTCGAGAGAAAAGAAAAAATATGGAGAAGAACGGAATCCGGTAATTGGTTTATTCGATCAAGCTCTAGGGTTTCTTTGGAATGTTGTTGTCCTAGTCTTTGTCGTCGTGGACGCCATTGATGTTGAGGCCGGTGCCGCCATCGATATTGAAGCCTATGCCGCCAGGCTAACCATTGATGTTGAGGCCAAGACCGCCATCGATATTGAAGCCGATGCCGCCATAGATGTATTTTTTGATGTTGGAGAATAAGGGGTTTTAAGGCCATTGATGAATAACTGTTTTTGTAATTAGGGTTTATGAAGAGAGTGGATTTTATAAGAGAGGATTTTATATGATCATGATGGGCTATTTGGAAAGAGAGGATTTTATATGATCATGATGGGCTATTTGGAAAGAGTATGAACTATGGAATCAGGACCGACTCTCAACTATGGAAGGAGAGAATTTTATATGATCATGATGTACTTTTTCAGCAGCTTCGATATCAAATTAACTAAATAAACCATATAAATTAGAATAGTAATTTAAAGGTAGTTTTAACCAAAACAAAAATGATTCTGAAAAGTTTCATATGTAGCGAGCTGGCCACACTGTGTGGTTGAGGTTGCTCAGGGGTTAGTCGGTTGGTCAAGAGTTACTTATTCAGGGGTTAGTCGGCCGGTCAGGATACTCGGTCAAGGTGTGGCCAGGGTTACTCTGCCGGTCAAGGTATGACCTGGGTTACTTTGTTGGTCAGGGGTTACTCATCAGTCGATCAAGGGGTTACTTTGTCGATTAGGGGTACTCGGTCGGTCAGTGGTTACTCGATCAGTCAAGGGTTACCCTATCAGTATTTTGATGTGTGTTATTGGTGCAAAATCTTAACTTTGGACATAAATTTTTAAATGACAAAAATACGAACACAAAAGCGAAGCATTAATAAATTGTAAATTGTAAATTTTTATAGTTAAATAAAGTAAAATAGCATATTACATGCAATACTAACTATTCACCCACTTTGATATATACTATATATTGAATGTTTCAGGTGCATCCAAACCCTCGCAAATAATATCACTTAAAGTTTAAAGGTAAAAAATGTAAAAATGAAACTTGATTGTGACAATGGAATTATAACACAATTTTATTCTTTTGTCTTAGTTGGGTTTAACATATTGCATGTATAAGAGGGTTGTTGGTTTGAGCACGGGCAAATATAACGTCTTTAAAAGATGATGATCTTGAGACAAGTAAATGAACCATTCACCCAAATTCGGTAACCCAACTATTTTTTTTTTTGAAAAAAATATTCATTCTTGATTGCATTTCAAGGATGATGATCAAAACCTTGTGACAAATAAGTAAACCATTGATACAAACTCAGGTAACAATCCTTTTTAAAAGTACTTGAAAATATATATTTTTCCTTTTATTTTTGTTGGTCCGTTGGTCCTAATAGCTTTTAAATCCTGACTACCCTCCTGTTTATTCATGTAAATATTAGATGCTAACCCAGACCGAAAAGATGTTGGGCTCCAAAAGCATGTTTTGGCCCTACTCGGTCCAATTTTAATTATTATTTTTGGTTTTGAGCAATCTAAAAATTCATTTTAAGTTCAAATTTTGACTCACTCCAATTACTTTTTTAATATTATTTCCAAAATTTTACATTAACATAATATTGTTTCCAAATTTTTACATGAATATTCGGTACTTGCTAGATTATTTCCCATGTTTATGTATATATATGTGAGTCTACAATTAATCTATTATTTTCTAAAAATGTAAATAATTTAATCGCTAAAGAGACCTATATATATATATATATAGTTATATACTACCAAATTTTGGTTGAAATATGTCACATTAGACTAAAAACATGAAGAGTGACTACCATAAGATTTATGTATGGTTAACAAACAATATTATTAGTTGGATGACTTATTAGATGAAAAAAGTAAACGGATCAAGTCACACTAATGAAAAGAGAGTTAATGTTAGGGTATGGACTCGCAGTAAAAGCGTAAAGTAAATCAAGAAATTTTGAAGATAAAGAATAGCGGAATTGATTACAAGGAGGAGATTATTTGTAGGAAAGCTTATATTTTCTATTTGAGTGACGGACTTTTGTAGATGACCAAATGGATGGCCAACTATTCATATATATAGTAGTGAATATCAGTTGATTGAAATCCTTCAATTCAAGTCCCATCTAGAAATCTTCATAACTAGAAAATTCTAGTTAATTATCCTTCTTCTTCAACTAACTTTGTAGTTGGAAATTTAAATGCCAATTTACCACAACATACTAGATTAATCAGGATTATATTAGCAAGATTTTTGGGCTTTATATAATTTTGGGTCACGTCTTAACATTTAAATCACTAACAAAACCGAAGGAGTTAGGTCATGTCATCCTAGCTAACACTCCCACTGTTTTTTATTAAGCACATCAATATATTTCGTATAATTTTTTAAAAATTAGTTGTTTTTTAGTTTATTACTTTCTTTTTGGACATATTCTCTTATTTCTTATCGTTTTTCCTCTCATACTACCCCAACTTTATTCTATATTATTTTAACTCTCAATAAGCCCTACTTAATTTCGATTCAGTAAAAATAAGGTGAAGAACATAGGACTTTACACAACAGCTTTAGGAATGCATGAAAAATCACTCGTATATCAATCAAGCCAGCCACTTTTAACTTTTTATATGTAGCCGTTAGGATAATACAGATAAAATTTCATGTTGGCTTGTGATTTAAAAAAAAAAAGAAAAAAAAACCAAAAACTAAGAATACACAAGGATGGGGAGATTACATGTATCATGCATTGCTAGGATATATTAAAATTAATACAAATACTAACTACAAATGTAAAGACAATATGACTATTTGATAACTTTTTTTACACCCAAGATTGCTCAACGATAAATAAACACAAATAAAAACCAATGCAATACATCACTACACATGTCGTCAAATATGATCATCATCCATAAAGCCCACAGGTAATAGCCCTTTCTCCAATTGCCCATCTCTTGGTACCCTATAACGATAAAAACATGCCGCAACAATAAAGATCACAAGATTTACAGCAGCTAATGAAGCTAGCACCCAATAATAATTATCTAATCGGCTAGTGTTCAATGTGCTTTGAAACCAATTTATTCCCGTTCTTTTCTCGCTAATGTTCCCAACAATGTCGACTAACACAACACTTCCCATGACCCCTAGGCCAAAGAAGCCCCTCGCGAATAGATTAAAGTACTTGACCATGGATTTAGGTGCTTGATCCAATGATAGCCCGTAAGCACTCAATCGATGAATGCCATCATGACAACCTAGCAACACGAATTGGAACAAAAGCCAAAATATAGTCATAGGTACTCTTTCGTGTGGCTTGTCAATTAAGTCATGACTCTTGACAACACCGAGCCTTCTTGTCTCTATCTTTGCTGCCGCGATGCAAGCAAGTGTAGCGTACATCATGGCAGCTGCGATTCCAATTCGAGGAATGTAACGTCGACTTAAGGACATTGTTGGTAAAAAGCCACTAGTGAAGCTTTTCCTAAAGTGGTCATAAAACCAATAGAAAAGTATAAGAGGGGTTTTCGCCTTTCCTACTCTACGATCCAAGTGATTCGCTTGCTCAAGAAAATAGGTAGCCCCTAAGGATGATACAAAACCGCAAACAATGAAGGTCATCCAAATGGGAATTGTGCGTATAAATATCTTGGTTTCCTCAACTTCTGTTACTTTGCAAAGGCTCCATCTTTTTTTCACTTGTTGCTCTAGCACGGGTTCTGCTTCGATTATAGCTGCCTTGTCGAGGCACCTGCGCATAGTAAAGCGTAACATTATATTACAAATTATATGAAAATTATACCTTATGCAACACTTTTTGTATACTATGATCCCCTAAACTCTTCTTGTACTCATGTAACTTTTTGTCAACAGGTTTTGGTATACTATGTTAGTTTTAATTAACTAGCTTATTAATACAAGACCAAATATATCTTTAATCCGCTTCCATTTTAATCACAACAGTTTGAATGTGCAACTATTCACATATTCATGTTTGATCATCTTAGTGATTGATATGTAATGTAAAATATAATCAAGTATAGATACGTCTCAATGTACGTTTTCATAATATTGACTTTTAACATCTTTGCTAAATCATGGTTAAAGATCAATGTTAATTGTTGAAGTTCAGCATTGATAGATGTAAAAGTCAAATTATTGCATTTAAAATGGTATGGAGAAAATATATTGAGATAGGTATAATATAGAATAAGTCAAAATTTAATTTAACCTGAGGCCATTCGTATGAGGCAATAATTCTTGGAGAGAGTTAGGGTTTTCATAGAGCTCATTCATATCTTGTGGGCGCGAGAAAAAGCTCTTGGAGACAGCAGCGAAAAGAACCCGAAAGATTGTAGTCAAGGGGCTCCCTTGTGGCCTAGGAGCAGGGTTTCCAACCCCTAAGCAAACCCTCAAGATTAAGCAAAAAAAGAAAGAAACCACACCAAGTATGGCACATATTCCAAATAAGATAGCCCATGGCTTGACAAAGGCTGCTATTAAGAGTGCGGCAAAGGCAACCAAGTGAGTACGACACCACCCTACGCGACGTGTACTGTTACTAGCAGCAGCCTCCTCTGCTTGCTCCTGCGCAAAGGGCGCATAGCAAGCAGAGAGAGCAGCCATTCCCAACGCGGTGAATACGAGCCCCGAATAAAATAGTTGTTTTTGCTGCTCGCCAATGCATTCAGGCTTGTATTGGGTGCAATTTCCATTTGACTTGCCCAATACAGGTGGTGTTGACATCCATATTAGACCAAGTCCCTACAATATGATTCAACATTTGGTACAAGAAATATTGGTTAACTTGACCTTAACTTAATTAAGTCTCAAATAACTTAAAATACCAAATAAAAAAAATAAAAAATAAAAACTCCTTACATTATATCTACAAGACAGAAAATTAGAATAATCATGCACTCAAGGGCGGCTTAATACAAAAACATTACTTGTATTATATAGATCTACTAACTGATGATTTGGATGAGAATGACAACGAAAGAGTTGAATTATTGATAAAGACAAGTTAATGACAGTTATTTGAAAGAAAGATTCTTTGCTTTAGAAGTTTAGTACTTCCATCATTACCAAAATCATTATTGTATCGTCCAAAACCAATATTATCTCATAATAGTCAAGCAATAATATGGTAATCGTCACCCTTTTTACAAACAATTAGCTGATGGGTTAGAATAATTCGCAAACCACAAATTCTTATATATGGCTGGCCACACCGTACCGTGTGATCAATCATCATAGGGGTTAATTATTTCGTCAGTGTTATAGGAGTCACTTACTATTATAAGGGTTACTCGGGCATTATTACACTATTATAAGGGTTACTTTGTCAGTGTTATAGAAATTAATTTGTTCTTTTACAAGCAGTCACATGGTATGACCAGCTGCACACAAAACATACTGTTCTCAAACATATATTCAAGAAAGTAATAAATAAATCTGATATTTTCCCTAGTATCAATTGGTTTTATGATGGAATACTGCTACACTTGTATATGGCCATTAGACTCCTAAATTTATTTTTTGTTCAATTCAACAAAGGGTGGTAGACTAACTTCATGTGAATCTTTAATCATAAATTATATACATAGACTGATAGACATAGTACATGTTAGCCAATTAAACTGAAGTTAATTGGCTAGCAACTTAGTTATTTGAGAAAATGAGGGAATCGCGCTATATAAGAGTAGAAATAACTAAGATTCCTTACAATCATGGAGGAGAAGCTGCTAAAGAGGACGACGAAAGAGTTGCCTAGGAAAGCATCGGCGAGGTAAGCGAAGACAATAGGCAGAATTTTGATGAATCCCATCCAGATATTGATAATTGCAGCTGCATGAATTAATTTAAGCTCCCATACATCGGTTAAGTACACCATCATTAGCCACAATATATACCCGGAAAACAAATTCACCCATTTCTGCAAACGTACTGCATACATATTCAAAGGAATGAAATAATGGAGTTAGTTAATGAAAGTTAGATGTCCTATGATCAAGAACGAACAAACTAAAAGTGTCACAACATTCGAAACAAATTTAGAGAAAAAAAAAAAAAATCTTATCTTTTCCTTAATTAAAATTATCTTGCCTAGCGCTTTTATTCACTCAAAAAAAAAAAAAAAAAAAAAAAAAAAAAAAACAAACTCGGCTAGCTTAGTCAGAGGTGTTAACGAGCCAAGCTCGAGCTTGTTGAACTCAAAAGGAACAAGCTTGCTTGACAATGCTTATTACGGAGTATTACTCAACCCAAGTCACAATTTCTAATTAAGAAAACCTTAGAAGGTAGATTATGTATATTATTCAAATACTTAAAAATATATAAATAACGTACGGAGTACTTAAGTAATCCATAAAGACTTATAAGGTAATACTTGTATATTATATATTCAAGCTTATTCATGAATCTTTAATTTAGATTATTCTTCCAATATTTAAGTATCGAGTTGAGAGTTAATAGTCCTCCCTACGGTGGTTCTACCCTCTCAATAATTGGATGTGGGGAGAGACTCTTATCACCCATAAGCATAATGAAATGAGTAGTTCGATGCACAAGTTAATGTTAATGCCTTTAATAACAAAGTATTGTAATATAATACTTAAATTTAAGTTATATGAAGAAGTATATGATTAAAATTAACAAATTATTAGATGTACATACTCAATATGCCAATATACTCCATAGCTCCAATCTTTAGTAGTCCTGCCAAGGTGGTTTGAGCTGAAGACAATGATCTAGCCTTCAAATTGCCCCTTTTCACCTAGATAAAACACATAGTTATTTGTAATTAATTGGCTAGAATAAAGCAAAATCACCAAATATCAAATATATATCTGGATATTAATATAAATAAAAATAACTTGTCTAAAATTTAGTTTTAGAATATAGTTAGAACAAGAAACTAAAAAGAATATGATCATAGCAAAAACGAAAAGAAAAACGAAAAAAGAAAAGAGACAAATTAAAGAAGATGATAACAAGCTGAAAACTTATTAATTAGTAATTACCTATATCAGTTGATTAGTGTACAGAAAATTTAGCAAAGGAGGGTATTATATATACAAGTATATAGGTACCTTAAATCAGTTAACACATAATTTCTCCTAAGATAAATATATGTATAGAATAAGGAGGCTGCTAACCAACCTTATACTACGTAATAAAAGAAAATGTAATCAAAGAACTACTTGCAATGCAAGTAGCTTTAATGAAAGTATTATTAACTATTATAGATTATATGTTATTGCTAATGAAATCGTAATCATCTTATTACGTGAGTTGCCACCTTGCTACCACAAAAAACAAAAAAATAACATATATATATATATATATATATAGACCCAACTTAATTATCCAACCTTTATGGTCATTTTATACACTAAACATTGTTGTTGTAACAATTATAACATGTGCCAAATTCGTACGGTCGTACCAACCTTTATTCTTCTTCTTCTTCATTTTTTTTTTTCTGATTTTTTTTTTTGGTAGACTTCATTACAGTCCATTTCTGTAGATAAAATAAAATTGATGGACCGTTCTTTCAAGTGTTTTACAAATAGAATGGGCTTGGCTAAAGGGGCTTGTATATATCGTGCTCTTTGGTCTAAAAGGGTACTCTCTCCGTTTCAGAATAATGCTCCTGTTTACGTAAATCGATGCAAATTTTTACAAATCTTTGACTGTAAATATCTTTAATCTCATCGTAGCATAAAGTTAGATATTTATAATGTACTCACTAAGACAAATCAAACAAGATTACATATGACTATATTTGTTCTTATAGATTGAGAGAAATTTAGAAGATTCTCTTTTATTTTTAAAAGTCAAAATATTCCAAACAGCAACATCATTGTGGAATAGAGGGACTATATATGAAATATAATTTGATTTTTCCGATATAACATTTTCCTTTTTGTACTTCGTATTTTTTTTTCTTAGGGTGGACTTCATTGGTAAGTTGCATTTACTAATGATTTTGAATTCTCGATATATTACAGAAAACATGTGCCCGGGCAAATGATAAAAATATCACAACTATAATACTCCGATGATTAATTTCCTTTTATCAAGTGAAATTTTAATTTATAAGTCATTAAGACAATGTGATCGCAACTTATCATTTCAAATAGATCGAACAAGTTGTATAAAATTTCAAATTGGGAAGGGGGTCGAGGAGTTATAACATCCATAGAGAAGATTGAGAATACAATCCAAGCTAGATGGTTTAAAACACTAACACAACAATAAACAACATGACATATTGTAAATGATCAAATGCATAATGCAACAAGTCGATCAAAAATCATCATCCATGAAGTTGAATGCTCCTTGCACCATCTGCTCTAATCTGGATTCCCTATAGCGAAATAAGCATGCCACCAAAATATAGACAACAAGATTTACCGCGGCTAATGTAGCTAACACCCAATAATAGTTGTCCAATCGGCTTGTGTTCAATGTGTTTTGAAACCAATTTGTTCCTGTTTTTGCCTCGCTAATCATCCCCACAATGTAAACTGAAACAACACTTCCCATGACCCCAAGTCCGAAGAACCCCCTTGCGAAAAGATTGAAGTACTTAATCATGGAGCTAGGAGCTTGATCGACGGAAAAGCTATAAGCACATAGCCTTTGAATGCCATCAAGGCCACCAAGTAACACGAATTGTGGCAAGAGCCAAAATATAGTCATAGGTACTCTTTCGTCTGGCTTATCAATTAAGTCATGATTCTTGACAACTCCGAGCCTTCTTGTCTCAACCTTCGCTGCTGCGATGCAAGAAAGTGTAGCGTACATCATTGCAACTACGATTCCAATCCTAGGTGCATAACGGCCGCTTAAGGCAAATGTCCCAAGGAAGCTAGTGGTAAAGCTTCTTCGAAACTGGTCATAAAACCACAAGAAGAGTATAAGAGGGGCCTTTGCTTTCCCTACTCTAGGATCTAAGCATTTCGCTTGCTCGAGAAAGTAGGTAGCCCCCAAGGATGATACAACACCGCAAACAATGAAGGTCATCCAAATGGGAATTGTGCGTATAAATATCTTGGTTTCCTCAACTTCTGTTACTTTGCAAAGGCTCCATCTTTTTTGTTCTTGTTGCTCTAATGCTGGCTCTGCTTTGATTACAGCTGCCTTATCAAGACCACTGCAATGTGTAAAAAATTACAATACTAGTTAAATATAATTAATAAACTCTTGATATATATATATATATATATATATATATATATATATATATATATATATATATATATATATATATATATATATATATATATATACCACTTAAATTTACCACAAAATGAGGGGAAATTACATTGGTGGTTTTTAACTATACTCCAACTAAAAAAATGAGTAGAACAAATAATTTCACTTACCTTATAAGAGTAAGATTAACTCATCCACTGTATACAACCATTTGTACCTTGATAAATAGAGCATGTGACAGCATACGGTAAATTGAGCTAAATAATTTTTGTAAATTAGTTTTTAGATACATAGTAGTACAATAGTTCCATGAAATGTTTCTTAGATTTTAAGTCAACTTATGTAAAAACAATTGTAAGGAACTTAAAGAAACAGAATTAGTAATAGAAGCAATATAATTGATTAAGCAGGGGAGTTTATTTACCTAAGGCTCTTCGAATGGGGCAATAATTCTTGGTTAGGGTCAGGTTTTTCATATAGCTCGTTCGCATCATGAGGTCTTCGACAGAAGCTCTTAGAGGAAGCAGCAAAAAAAACCCGAAAAATTGTAGTCAGGGGGCTCCCTTGTGGCCTAAGAACAGGGTTATTATCATTGCACCCTTTGGTAACCCTCAAAATCAAGCAAGCAAGAAAAGAAACCACACCAAGTATGGCGCATATCCCAAATAAGGTAGCCCATGGCTTGACAAAAGCAGCTACTAGGAGCGCGGCTAGAGCAACCAAGTGAGTGCGACAACCCACACAACAACACACACATTCACAATCACAACTATCATCAATCACCTCTAAATGCTCCCGTGAATAGGGTGCATAGCTAGCAGTATGAGCCGCGATTCCCACTGCAGTAAAGGCCAGCCCCGCGTATAAGAGTTGTTTCTGCTGCTCGCCGATGCATTCAGGCTTGTATTGGGTGCAATTTCCGTTTGACTTGCCCAACACAGGTGGCGTTGACATCCATATTAGACCAAGTCCCTACAATTATTTTCCAATAATGTTGATTACAACTTTACAAGATATGTTACATAAGTTGACCTTAGCTTATGTATAAAATATATAGATAAATAAAATAAAATCAAGTTTCTATTGATGATTAAACCCCATAAGTTGTGCGCATAATCATTAAAATATAATGGTAACCATATTTCAAATGAACATTACAAAATTTTCAGAATATTACGGTAATATTCTCCCTAAAAAAAATTGTATCGTTGATGTTTAAAGCAAAATATGATTACTTACAATCATGGAGGAAAAGCTGCTAAAGAGGACGACGAAAAAGTTTCCGAGGAAAGAATCAGCAAGATGAGCAAAGACAATGGGCAAGACTTTGCTCAACCCCATCCATATATTAATAATCGCGGCCGCATGAATTAATTCAAGCTCCCATACATCGGTTAAGTATACCATCATTAGCCACAATATATAGCCGGCGAACAAATTGACCCATTTTTGCAATTGTACTGCATTTTTCAAAGGAAATAAAATCTAGTTAGCACATCTAGTTAGACATGATATAAAACAACCATATACTTGAATTATGGACATATCAAACATAAATATATGTTACGGACAAATAATAAGACATCATATATATATATATATATATATATATATACTTACTCAAGTTGTTGATATACTCCGCCATAGCACTTCTTTTTTCTGGTTCGTCAAAATTGATCAATAATACAGAAAACAATGTACATTGAAATCGACTACTTGACTGGCTTAGTATTGGATTGTCCTAAGAAGAAGATGAGCAAGCGAGAGCACGCCAGGACCTAGCCTTTGGTTATTTTTCTGAAAAGATGATCTGTAACGAAATGGAATGTATTGGGCTAACTAAAGAAAAATGCTGAATGTCTCGATATATATACTGGTTGTACTCGTACATGAAACTAATTTATAGTTTTATGTATCCTTCTACTACATATGTTCCAGGTTGTATTCGTCTGGTGGTTGTACTTATATCAATGAGAAAAAAATGCTTTGAAGTCATGGGGCAACTAATTGACCCATTATTGTTGCTTCCTCTGTTTTTTAGATGAACCACTTTTTATAAATAAAAAATCCATTCTAAATGCATGCATTACTTTCTTTTTTAAATAATAAATGCTCTCTATCTCTATTACATTAGATAGATGGGTCCTTTTTATTTTTTCTTTGTATCTCTATTACATCATATAGATGGGTCCTTTTTAAATAATACCCTCTTATGCCACTCATATGCAAAAATGGAAGTAAAAGGGAGGGGAAGGATGGCGGAGCTAGAGAAAATAGAGAGGTAGTGAAGACCAAATAGGAAAATGAGATGTGACATGCCTTCTTTACAAAGCGAAAATGATTTTCCTTCTCTAAAAATTAACTTTTCACATGTTGATTTTTTTTTTATTTTTTTATTTTTTTTTTTTTTTTTTTTTACCATTTAACAAAACAAAACAAAGCACAATGGAGAATGAAGGAAAATGATTCTCCATGAAATTGTTTTCTACCAAAATAGAGTCTAATAAAAAATTAAAAAGATCGAGTAACTCTCAAGATCAACTTTTAAAGTGGTAAAATTTTCTCCCAATTTCTATAGTAAGATAATATGTACAATATCGTTTACATATGGGTTGTTTACGAGATCTCAAAAAGGTTTTAATTAAAGTCTGGCCTAGTTTCCTTAATTGTTGCAAATCTTCTTCATTCTCTATGTCATTTCATTCGCATTATTATGGCCCTATAGGACATCGAAACATGAGCTCTAGTAGATGATTGTATTTGATCTATTTCAATTGATCGAATATAAGACGATGATAGATGGAAATTAAACCTCCTATGTGAAATTAAGTTGTTCCAACTCCATGTCGGCATCTCCTTCTGGAAAGATGCAGCTTATTCCAATTTTATTACAAAGTCAACACAAAGGTTGTCCTTCGTCCAATAAAAGGACCAAATTAAAATAGGGTTGGATTTTTTTTTTTTTCCACGTCTAGTGGACATCTTTGTTAGCTAAATAATTTTTGAACAAGTTCATGATTGGATAGTTTAAAACTTTGCAAAAAAGAAAAGGAAAAAAAATTCCATGTTGTACGTATTTGAATAGTCAAAACAGTGCTGTAATTCCTGACTTGACGACGACTTCAAACGGCTAACAAGCTGCAAAGTCAACCTGAAGGTGAATTATGCACTGCATATGAACATGGGTATAATTGCATGAAACACGATATAAAGTTTGTAGGTCGAAAATAAATAAATAAATAAAAGCTACTTAGTATATAAGTAAAAATTTAATTTTATATATACTTCCCTAGAAAACCTTCGTTAATTGTTATATTGTGCGTTATATCAACCGTGTCTAGATATAGTAAGTATGCCACTATCTCAATTTTCTTTAACGTTAAGCTTTCTTTGTGAAAGTCTAACCGGCTAATACAAGAGGGGGGGTGAATTGTATTTGAGGTGAAATCTAAAAACTTTTTGCGGAATTTAACTAAATGAAATAATGACGAGAGAAGATATAGGCTTTTCTAAATTTCCACTATGTAATCAAACTCTTTACAAGTAAAGATTCAAACCCGTTGACAAGTTCCACAAATTAGGAACTTGTTCCCAACTCTCACAGAAGCATTCAGCAGCGAAGCTTCCTTGACCTCACTTTACAAAAACTCACAATCCCAAACCTCAAAGTACTTGAATACAATCTGTGATTACAAATACCTATTGCACTCAAGAATATATGAAGGAAAATAACTCTCTTTATGTTATTAGATGGCTACTGGAATTTTTATGCTTAAGAGTTATGTTTTGCTGAGATAGTTTGCATGAGTATTTATAGAGAAGGCTTAGTCATTAACCTCCACTATAATCACGTCCACATGCCAACACCCCACTAACAACTTGTGGAGTTATCTTGACAGATGGTGATCATGAAGAGGTTTCCTAGCCTTATCTCACTAATCCACTATCTCAACAACTTGATAAACATTAGCCGTATAATCAGAGATTTTCACACACAAAACTGCTTGCTAACTTTATCAGAAGTTTGTTTAAAAAGATTATCAAAAGTTTGTTTAAAAAGATTTTATTTGAAAAGATAAATTAATTATTTATATTAAAACAACTAGATAATTATCTATCTTTATTCGAAAATAGATGACTAAATAAAACTTTTATAAATTATCTTTTCTTTAAGAAATTATCTTTTAAAACTAACTTTTATTCCAGTAGTCTTTTTAATAACATAAGTCATTGAGTTCCTTTCCGACTTTATATTATTGAGTGCTCACAATTAAAACTAGAACGTGAGATTTGCATGAGGCTTTTTAGAGAATGCTACTCCGCATCCAAGTTCCTACTCCGGAACGAACTTTGCTTGAACCCTTTATTCACCAAAGACTCAAAACATTCATTAGTCGAGTTTGTCAATTTGTCCATCAAAACCAAAAGGCTCAACAAATTCCCCCTTTTTGATGATGACAAACATTGACAAACTTAGGTAAATAAAATCATCCAGTCATGCAACAAAAATTTAAAGCAAGACATGAAAACAAAAAAAACAGAGTAATTAAAGAACTTAGAAAAATACTAAAAAGTATTTATTTTAAAAAGACTGAGCAAAAGAAAAATTAACAAAGACTTTAAAGACTTAGATTACTAGGACTTTATTGAGTTAACTGAACTTAGCAAAAGTTTGTACCTTCGATGTGTGAGTTCCTTGGTAAACACCTTAGCCGCCATGAAGTTTGTCTTTTCCCCCTTTTGGCATTATCAAAAGATTGAAAAAAAACATTTTGCTATACTCCCACTAGACTACGTAGGGAATAGTGAGCTCAAATAATGCAAGGCAAAAATTAGTTAGGTACTAAATTATCAGCAAACACACACAATCATATGAAAAATACGAGCCAAGTTCCCATAGACGAAAATCAAAAGCAGGAAAGAGTAGCAAGAGTTAAGAATTACAAACTGAAATCCAAATGAAACAAGCAAAAGCAAAAGAAATTAAAAGTGACAAGTTCTAAATTGCAATTATGGGGAATAGGTAGGTTCATCAGCTGGGGTTATGGGGTCATTAGAAGCTTCCTCCACTTCTTCAAAAGCCACCCTGTTAATCGTCTCCAATATCTCCTGAGTGTTGTGCAGTATGTTCTTCTCAGCAACATCAACTTTGTTCTCCATCCTAGTAAAACTGGTTTCCTGAGCATCTGCCACAGCCTGCACTTGGCGTTGAAGAGAAGCCAGCTGCTTTGCCATGTCCTCCAGCTTTGTGCACACCATCTTTATCAGCTGCTCCATTTCTGCTTTCACCTGTTGAATATCAAAAACAGAAGCATTTGTTCCAGAGAAGGCAGCAAAGCCTGTAGGCTGTGATGTAGGAAAAGCTGGGGTGGGAGAGGGAGAAATCTGTTTTGGAGGTGAAACAGGAGTGGAAGAGGGTGTAGCTTGTTTTGGGGGAGAGTCATGAACAGAAGATGGCTCGGAAGCAAAAGGAACTTGTGTAGGGGTAAAATCAGGGTCAGAGTGATCTGAAGAACTAATGTCTTCAATAATCACAGGCTTTAGAGTAGAAGTAGCAGGTTTGACAATTTTCCTCTTACTCCTCCTGAGTTCCCCTTTATAAGGGAGATCAAGACTCTCACTTTCTGAGCTAGATTCCCCCTCACTCTGAGTCTCCTCTTCTTTCTCAGATTCTGCCTCATGTGGTTCCCCCTCAGAAATTTCTTCCTCCTCTTTGTCTTCCTCTCGTTTTTCTTTACTTTCTTCTTTTTCAGATTCACTTTCCTCCTCTTCTGACTCACTTGTATCTCCCTCTACAACCTGTGTTTTCCCGTTTCCACTATTTTTCTCCTCTCCTCCTCTAGTCAAGAAAGTAATTATCCCACTCTCAAGTTTAAGGCTCAGGCGAAGCAGAGATTGCTCCGAGAGAATGTTCTCAGGTTTAATATAAGTAGGTGACTCACTTTCAACATCAATCCCGAAAGACTTAAACAACACAGTAAGAAGAGATCCATATGGAATAGTAGTTTTAGTAGCATAGAAAACCAAATGTTCAATCATCAGTTTTGGAAAGTTTATTTTTATTTTCCGAGCAAGACAAAAGATGATGGTTGCATCTAGTAGAGATACTGTGCTTCGTTTTTGAAAACGAGGAACAATGCCTCTCCATGTGAAATTGAACAATAATTTGTGAAGAGGAGTGAGTATGTTATGATGTGAAGTCTTGCTTTTCGGGTTTCCACCTATAAATTTGATTATTCTATTCTCATCATAATGCCCAATTTGCACAATTTGTTTGTGTTTTAGGTACGAACTATAGCCAGAGGTGGGGACTTGAAACAAGTTCCCTAAATATGCAACATCAAAATGAATGTGAGTATCTTTGACTGTAGCCGTGCATACACCATTGTTGTGTTTGAAAGTATTTTTGAATTCAAACAAAAGCTTAGGGTAAATTGGGTAGTGAGAGAAATTTTGGAACAAATGCACCCATTCTTGATAATCAATTAAGGAGATGAATTCGGAGAACTTACTTGCCATACACCAGTCATAATTGATGTGATAGCCGTGAGTGTAGTTCCAAGATGGAGACTTTTGAGAGCGTCGCCTTTTTCTGTCACCTCCTTTCACGGTTGTAGCCTTTCTCTTTGTCGAAGCTTGAGGGTGAACGACGGCAAGTGGGACTGGTTCAGGGGAGCCACCAGCAGAGGAAGGTTTCCGGGTTTTTGGTGGTTTCGGTGTTGAGTTTAGGTTGGTTTTCATGGTTATGAAGGTGAGTTGAAAGGAAGGAGAAGATGAATAGTGTGAATAGGAAGGAGAGAGAGTGAGGCCGGTTTTTATGAGGGTGTATGGAGAAGTTAATTTGATGTGATTGATGAGGGTGGAGTGTTAAAGAAAAAGAGTTTAATTGGGAAGGGTGAGAAAAAGTGACGGTTTATATGGTGAGGTAGTAG